CAGTTGCCCAAGAAGCTCAGAGAGGGTTCCGGTCCAGGTTGCCCAAATCGGCACTAACCCAGGAGACCTCTGAGGATCGTCCTGTGCGAGGACCGGGATCCTCAGCCGCCTGCACCACCCTCCTCCCTCTCCTTGGCTGCGTTTGCAGACACAGCTGGCTGAGGGGAGCATTCTTTTTCCACTGGGCTAGAGCTAAGTCTCAAAATCCATCCTGACCTCCTTTTAGGGAAGTTGCTAGAACAGAATAGAGCTGGTGCTGCACAGGAAGCCTCCGCCGCCCCTGAGGTCTGCTCCTCAAAGCCTGGGTCAGATGACGAAGCCTCGGGATGCCCTGCGGCTGGCTGGCCCAAGGTCACCAAGTTTACCGAGTGGCGGTGCTGGGACCGGACGCCAGGTCCCTGCCCCACACTCACAATCCGGTGCACTTTCCACTCTAACGTGTTTCTGATATACTGAGTGCTTGCTCTTGAGACTGTCACGGCCTGGAATGCAGCCAAAGTGAGGGACCACAAACGTTTCAGCAGTAGAAATGCCTACGTCGGCAGAGCTGCGGCAGAGCGTAAGGGCGGGGCACAGGGGGCGGGACTGCACAGTCCTCCCCAGACAGGAAGTACACGAAGCCAACCTAGAAACTTGCATTCCCCCCAAAGCAAGTCATCTCCTGGCCATCGGCGACCTTGCCCACACTTGCCCCCCAGGGGCAACGCTGTGTGCACTCTCAGGACCGGTGTCCACCTGACGGCCTGAGGGTGGCTTCCTTTCCCCTGTTCTTGGGCCTCCTGCAGCGCAACCCTGCTCTGCGCACCGGACACGCCTGGAGGGTCTTCCTTCCCTTTCATCAGCTCCTCCAGTGGGTCGTCAGCAGTGAATGGAAATAAAAGTCTGTTACATGTGTTGTGGACTTTGTTTTAATCCCACTGCTGGATCTGACACAAATGGATTTAATACGAGTTAGTGGCCCGGTCGTGGGGAGAAGAGAAAAGGCAGGCAGAGGGAGAAGGGCGTGGAGGGCGGGCAGGGTGTCTGCGACACCCCGTCTTGTGCAGCATGGGGACGTGCGCTCTGAGGGCTGCAAGTGGTGCAGGCGGCAGGCCTGGGCCTCCCCGGGAACTCCAGGCTCCTCCAGCACCTGACACACAGAGATGGGTAACAAAGAAATGCTTGCCAGTGGGTCATGTGGGTGAGCAGGGGACACCTGCTCAGAGAGGAGCTGGGAGTAAAAGACAGGTGGGAGGTCCAAGTGGTCGGCTGGCACAGCTGTAAAGGCAGCAGCCTGTGCGGGAACAGAACTCCCAGGGAGCCCTGAGGCCCTGGGGCCGGAGAAGGCTACCAGGGCACAGGAGGTCGGGGCAGCCGGCAGCCACCTCCAGGTGAAAGCGTGAATCAAATAAGAACGGCGATGCTATCTGCAGCTCTGGGATGAAGCCGCTAAGGACCAGATGAAGGGTCAGACCAGGGTGAGAAATGTGTTTAACGAGGAATCATTGATCATTAAAATAATTCACCTGAGGGTGATGTTTCACGTCCCCTAATTTTAAGTTTGATGGGCGAATGAAATGTGTGGGGGTCAGGGGAGGGGAAGGAGGACTAGGGGGGTTGGAAAAGGGAAAAATGATTAAGCCCCTTACCCTTTTAATTAGGAAAATGAGAGATATCATTACTTAATAAAATTTAAAATGTTATTTCAAGCACATAAAACCCGAAACAGAGACACATGGAGACATGCAGAGGGGACAGTTGGAGACAGCTGTCAGCTGGCCAACCCTGCAAAGCCTGGACTAAGCCACGCTCCTCTGTTGGCCCGGACCTGGGCCCCTTTAAAACAATGGGTTTGTCCCCTTCTGGCGCATTGCTAGGTCTCTATCGGATAAGTGCCGAAGTGTTCTCTAGCTGACGAGAACTGCTCACATTCTAAAATTGTCTCTAGCAGCCTAAATGGCCTTTAAAATAAATGCTGTGAATTGATGAAACGACCAATTATGTTAACTACCCATGCCTAGTGTAATCCAAACCAAATCTTACCCCATTATCCTCAAAACCGCGAGGTGATTCAGCAGGCCCTCTTGCCAGCGATTCTGCAAGAACCAAAACACAGTCCGCCCTCGAGTAGGACCTCGAGTACTCCCAGTTAATTCCTGCAATTGGTTTCTACGCTGGAAAAAAAATAACTGTACTCCGTTTCTGCTCAACAGCGTGTGAACCAAACAACCGCCAGACAACGCTGTAACCATTATGTCATTTCGCTCCACTCATTGTCGATTTTAACTTCCATTTACTCCTCTTCAGATACCCCATTATTCCATTTAAGCATCTCCTGGGGTGTGTGAGGTCATTATCCCAAAGTGCCCCTGACTCGCTCCCTACCTGCACCTCCCCCCGGAGGTCCCCGTGGCTAGGCTCCCGTGACCCTCTCCTGCCTGCGTACTCTTGCTGTTTCCACTCCTGGCAACGCCTTTTCCCATTTCCACAGCCCACATCTACCTAGTTTTCAATGCCTTACTCAAGTGTCAACTCTCCCCAAAGGGGACCAACCCCTAGGCTCCCAAACCCTCCTGACACACACGAGTCTGTCCCGCAGGCATTGCGACAGGTTCGCTTCCTTTGTGGCTCCTGTGTTCTGGCGAGGTCAGCCCGAGACCACAGCGCCCAGCACTGTCCCCCTGCGCAGCTGGGGCAGCCGGTTCTGCTTCTGAGGCAGATGGTCCCTGGGCCTGTGTCACCTGGAGTGACCAAGTTTCATCTTCTATACCATTTCTAGGAACCGGGCTCTTTAGGGAGTCTCACATCCCGTGGCTGGAACCTAGTAACAGACTTTAATCTCTAGATTGCTTGCTACAGGAAAAAATAAAGTATATATGCATATTTTTAAAATGTCAAGTGTAAAAATGCAAACATGAGCCTTCAGACAGGTAATGCTTTAATGACCTGCCCCTTCCGCTGGTATAACACAGTGACCCCCTTCTTTGAACACCTGTATCTTTTTGTAAATGTTTTGCTTGTGGGCGTGAGTGACTTCTTGATGAGCCAGTACCACCCACCAAAGGAACACAAAGATACTGATTTGAAAGGACACGCACATAGTTTGAAAAATCTTGTCACGGTAAAAGTGTCCAAGAACTTAATATACAGACCCAGAAAAGTAAAAAAAATGTCACTGATAAAAAGTTAACAAACCCCTGCAAAGGTCCAAAAGTCTCTCCAAACTCCTTTTGAGTTTCACACGTACAAAGAGATAAATGGGCGGCAGTGAACTGGATGTGGGTTCAAGGAGCACCTGACGTCCACGGTCACTCCACTGTCAATGCCTAGAGTCATTAGAACCGTTAACCCTCCCGGGAAGGAGCAAAGGTCTCCCGCCCGTGAGATGAGACTCTCGCAGCAGAATCACTCCACTTCAGAAAACTTATCAGTGTTCTCCCTCATGCTTTTGCCTGAAATAACCCAAAACTAATATATGTAGAGCAAATCTTACTCAATGTGAAATTTAATGAGTAAAAACCCTATACAATAATGGATTAATAAAATCCAATCTAAGTAAATAAAATCCCTCTTCTGAAAATAGTCCAAACCCAGATGATATTCACTGCCGCAGACCTAGAGGCAAAGTGCGGACGCACATGACTCTGAAATGCACTTGAAGAAGGCCACAGGCTTCTTGTGCATCACGCTCCACGTATCTATCTGAAGGGAGAACAGAAAACATTTTTAAAAAATTATGTATAAATTTTGCAAGTTGAGGGAGTTCCCATTTTTCTTAAATATTGATGATGCCTCTGGTGGTCATTAAAATTAAAATTAAACAAACTTCCTTGCCTAAATTTCACCCTGTGCCAAGCAAAAATGCAAAGAAATTCTTCAGTCCTCGATTTCACAAGCTAGAAGAACAACCATGTGTGACTGTGCAGCCAATAAAACGGCACAAACCTGTGCCGACTCTTGCAGCTGACTGAGCTACTCCAGAGCCCTGAAGATGAACTTTCTTCTTCATCTTCATAAGAAAAGTATGGCCACTTTTCTTAGCCACATTTCTAAAATTCTACTCTTTTCACACCCACTCCATCCCTTAGCACGTACTTTAGAGGCTTAAACCCACCAAACACCTCCGAACCAGCCAAATGCACCGGAGCCCCCACCATAGGCCCAGTACAGTTCTAAAGCCCTGGTACAACCACACCCGCCTGCTGGTGGCCAGCTGGGTCACCCCGACTCCCGGCCAATCAACACAAACTGGCGGGGACAGGAAACTGGAAGGGCCGCCAATTCCAGGTCGTGTGTACGGCAGATACTCAAAACAGCAACAAGCCCAAAGTAAATTCTAAAAGTATTTAGCATGTATCTTATTGCTATTTTTTAGCCAATTATTATTCTTTCATTTTGGCTACTTCAAAAGAAACTTAATCACAATAGTGGAGAGGAAAGACAGTTCGAATTCCTTGAGCACACGGCATAGGAACTTGGGAAGAGCAGCTGACCAGGAGCTGAACGACAGGAAGGATGTCCCCCTGCACAGGATGCTTGGAGGGACAAGGGAGGGGTGTCGGAACTCTGCACCTCCGAACAAGCCTACAGTCACCCTTCCAGGCACACATGGACGTGACATGCCAGCCAGGAACCAGGGGACTTCCACGGTGACCAAGGTGCCCGAACACCCAAAGCAACCCTCGCCAGCCCAAGCACTGAAGATACGCAACGAGGTTTGTTTTTACCAGCCCAGTTCACGCAACTGTCATATCCCAACGGCTACATAATTCTCACTTCGCCAAAGCAAACCAAACACTTCTGGAGCGTGACCAGTAACGACAGCCCAGAGGAGCAGCCCTGGCTTCAGATGAACAATTCAGAGCAACCAGGAGAGTTGCGCAGGGCAAAACAGAGACAACTGGGCCAACAGACCCAGCCCATCAGTCGCACTTCTCCGCAGGGCAGAGCCCTTCTGATCCACGCCGAGCACAGAGGAGTCTCGAGAGGGGTGAGGTGGAGAGGTGCTTCAAGAGACTTACCTTGGAGAAGGGCTCCATTTCTCTTGAAGAAGGTGCTGCCCGGCCAGAGGGGGGGGCCTGATGTGCTGCAAGAGAAGAAGAGACAGCGGCATGAGGGCCAGCTCATCTGCACCCGCTTGCCCGAGCTCCGAGCAGCCCTCTCTCCAACGGTGTCCCTCCACACGGCCTCAGAACTCGCTCCCCCACATGCCTCATTGTACCCTCTGAAAATGCATCTTCAACACCATCCGTTACACTTCGCGATGGATGGGCTTTGTACTTCACGGACACAGTCCACTGCAGGTATCGTGGTGACCTACCATCTTGACCCTGCTCCCTCCTGGGCGCTGAAATCATTTGCAGGTAAACAAAATGTAAGTTCCTACAGTTCGACGTCATAGCCTACAACTTTTGCTCACTTGTTCATCATGTTATGATTTTACGTGGCAGAGAACTCCTAGCCACGTCTGAGACCAGGTGTGTTTTCCAACACTTCTTGGTGCCACTTGCCTATTAAGAAACACAAACTTGCCTTTCTTAGCTTTTCTACCATCAAATCCTTAATATATAGACATGACCTTGATCGACGCTTTCCCTCCCCCATCTTCTTGTTTTGTATCCTGTTTTCAATTGCTTGGCTTAAAATGTTGCACTGCAAACCCTATAAAACATTTTGCAAATGTTACCACCCACAGTCTGGTAAGAAGAGAGGCAAGAAAATAAGGAAGATCAATATATCACAAAGACACTTTACTGCATTTACAGACAAGCATTTTCACTGTTTTTAAAACACCCAGTGAAAAACTTTATAACCAAGCCTGCCTCAGTAAAACATCCTTGGAGTGGAAAGTAGGTTATTCTAAATCAAGCATTGGTTTAAATTAATGGTAGAAAGCCCTCAGTCAAAAATGTTACATCCAGCTCCAGAGGCAGTAAAAACTATTTTCACCAAAACAGTCTGTGGAAAATGATATTGGTTAGTGCATTATCAATCACCTTCAACATTAAAAAAACAAAAAATCTGAAAAACTCATTTGTAAATTCGGCTGCTGTGAACAGGCTTGGAGAACGAGAACCGGAAATCTGAAGGGGTCTACAATAAAGCTTTGCCTGTCACCCAGGGTCTCAAGGAATGCAATACTGTAAACAAAAGGAGAGAGGCCAGTGACCAAAGCGTCACCACCAGCGGTACATATAGCACAGCAGGCAGAGGGACACGGTACATGATTGGGAAGGAGCAGAGAGAAGAGCTACAGTGTAAAAAAAAACAACAACTATTCAACATCAGACTGATGTCAAATGTGCTAGAAAACACACTGTGCACCGTGCTGTAAATGAACCCTTTGTTTTATTTTGTTTTGCACCCTCTGTCCTCAGAGTGAGAGGGAATAATGCATCTCGGCGATGTTTTTTTTCTGCAGCCCCGATTCTCCACTCTGGCAGCCATGGCCTCCGAGTGGCCAGGAGTTGCCTGGACAACAGGAGGTCTGGCTGGGGCTGCAGGCTCCGCGATGATGGCCGCAGGCTGATTTCTCTCCCACCTCATTCCTGTCCCATTCCACCGAGGCTTGTAAGGCTCCGAGTTGCATGCAGAAATAATACGCATTAAAATGCTTAAGATTGTCTTTTTACAACCCCAGCTAGCTCCTGGGATTTTACCATCTTATTTTTGTAAGAAAACAGGAAAAAACAAGCTGGCTGTTGTTAATACCAAATCGCCTGATTTCTGAAGATATTTAAGAACTGAGGACTTCATTACAGAAGAGTTGGTGCTTCAGAGAATTCCGTAATGGAGTATTACTGCAGGAGTCTGCATATCCAGCTTAGTTCCATCCAAATCTCCTCTTTATCCTGACCTTGATTTGGCTGAAAACTGAGTAGATGCCAGCAAAGGAGTAAATGGAGGACTGAGGACAGGAAAATCCGGTGGCTTACATAAGGAAAATTCTCTATGCGATAGAAATCGACTCCAAGATTCTGACAACATCCTTTTAATGCACCTAATGTCACTGACCACTATTCCGGACGCCCTGCTGCGCTGCCTGTGTGATCTGTGCTCTCGTGGGCGGGGGGCGTATGACGGTGTGGACTGGCCACCCACCTGCTCTTCCCCAGCCCCCACCGCAACTGCCGAATTCACCCAGGTCTCTTTCTGACTCCAGCTAGGCTGGTTCCTGCTATGCTAGGTACAAAGCATCTGAGCTCATTGGTCCAATATTCTACACTGCTTTTTTTTTCTGATGGTCCCTCAAAATGGCATCATCTAACTATTAGTAGATTCGGGGATTTATTAAGTGCTTCTTGAGAACCGTGCTTGGTGTTAAGAAGGATACAGGAGGTGAGGCAGGGGGGGATTAAAAGCCCTATTTTACGGCCTCTAGGAACTTACCGACATACTTATCTAACTTCCAACTCCCTATGATTCTATCTAAAGAGAGAAAAAAAAAAATGCCCACAGACAGGTCAAGATCAACCGTTATGGTCCTAGTGGCTGCATGTTGGAGAGGATGCAAACTCATCCCCCACCCCCAATGTGGAGATGTTCTGGGCTGACTGTGCCTCCAAGTCAGCTTAAAAACATTACATGAAGTTAGTTTAAAGTGTGTACCCACCCCAGTCATCCAGAGAATCTGCTGTGATCAAGGCTGTTGTCGGGGAACCTGTGGTCACCCTAGAAACCACCACTCCGTGTGGCAAATCATGAGGAGAGGAGGGAGGGTGGGGGACCCTCCCCACTCAGCCACTTAAATGCTGGTGATTTGCAAATGGTCACTGCCATGAGAAATGGCCACCAGGACCCCCTTCCATCTACCAAAGTGGGTTTCATCACCATTCAGCGGTGCTCACATCACTTGAAGGTGGGACAGCAAATTCCCATTCACAGAGGACAGTGATCAGCCCTTTTCCATGGACCCCTCTGACCCGGTGGGTGGGGAGCAGGGCAGGACCCATCTTCCCCATTTCACACCCGAGGAGATGGGGGCTCTGAGAGGTGAAGGGACTCACCCAAGTCATCTACTGATCAGACCAGGGCTTCTGGGGCCAGCGCACTGCCCTGACACACACAGGTCAACGGCCTGACTCGATCTCTTCTCTTCCAGTCTCCTCGCACTGACCTCCCAACTACCCTTCTCCGTGGAGGAAGGCCATGGGCGGTAGCTCATGAGTAACCTCCGTGGGGCAGAATCCCAGGCTAGAAAAAACAGCCAGGGGAACCACATGCAAAACACAGACGCATGGGTGCCTCTCGGCAGACACGACACAGCACCGGCACCACAAGTGTCTCATTTCAGTAACACTCATAAAATCCCATGACCTTCAGCAGCTGTAAGTCTAACCTGCTTTGCAGCAAAGGAAGCCAACCAACAGGTTCACGGGCCTCACCTGACAGAGAGGCAGTTTGAGAACTGGCATTTGAGGACATCGATCCTGCTGGTCATTAAGACCAGAGCTGAGCCAGCAAATCCCGAGAGAGGAGTGGTACCGTCCAGAACAGCGTGCCCAGCGCCAGCTGGGGGCTCACCCTCCTCCCTCACGCCCCGTATCTCCCAACCTCAGCTGTGTTCCTTCGAACTCCCAGGGGGACATGGCGAGTCAACAGGCTGTAGAGTCCGAAGGTGGCTCTGGGCATAATGACGTGACCTGTCATGTGCTTTCTTCTCTACACCCACGAGCTTTTGTTGTCGTGAGACCAGCTGGATTGTAACCAAGACCCTGGGGGTTGCTGGCACCACCCCGCCTGTACTCGCCGGCCAGGACCTTCTGTAAGGCTAATGAAAAGCAAATTAAGAAAAGTAGTTTTTTCTAAGAGACCAGCTGCCAAGTGTGAACTGGCGTATCTACAGAAAGGACAAGATGCTGGGACATGGATGAGCCCCAAGGACACTGTGCTAAGTAAAACACGCCCGGCACAGAAGGGCGACTACTACCCGATTCCACTCCCAAGAGATCCCCGGAGGAGTCCGACTTGCAGAGACAGAGAGCAGAACGGTGGTTCCCAGAGGCTGGGAGGAGCGGGGTTGGGGAGCTACGGTTTGATGGGGTCAGGGCCTCAGTTTTGCAAGGAAGACAAGAGTTCCGGAGATGGGTTGCACGGCTCTGTGACCGCGTGGGGTGGGCCAAAAAGTCTGTTAGCTTTTCTTCTGTATTGTGGGTCTGGGAGCCCTTCGCTGTCTTTAACTTCATTTGAAACAATTTTGTTAGATTCTGTTGTGACAGCTGTCATATCAGGGTGCGTTAAAAAAAAACATCAAAATTAGTGAATTTTTGTGTAGCCATTTTAACATTGAAGGTGGAAGATACACAACATTTTTGGTCTATTACGTTTCATTATTTCAAGGAAGGTAAACACACAGCTGAAATGCCAAAAAAAAAAAATTTGTGCAATATATGAAGAAGGTGCTGTGATTGATCGAACATGTCAAAGTGGTTTGCAAAGTTTCTTATACTATTGATGTTTTGGCCAAATAGTTCTTTGCTGTGGGGCTGTCTTATGCATTGGAAAATGTTTAGCAGAATCCCTGGCCTCTACCCACTAGAAGCTAATAGCAAGAGAGAGCCAACATACTCAAAATGTCCAAATCAATAGTTATTGGTGAAAATGAAAAATGTATCTCTTATTTTATGGACAAAAACATAACAGATTCTTTAGCCAACCCAATACTTAACACTATGAACCATACAACGGTTAAGACGCTGTGTTGTATGTGATGCGTATCTTACCACAATTAAACATTTTTTACATGCCAAATGAGAGAAAGGATTAATACAGAACAGACTCTGAGAGAAGTGAATCGAAGTCTGAAGTGTTTGGGGCAGTGAAGAAGGCACCTAGGTGCTGAGTTTCTGAACGGCCCCAGCAGTGGGCGTCTCTGCCAGGATGCTCCACTGCACACGGAGACGCAGGGAGCACAGACCAGCTGTGAAAAGGGACCGCCCATCCTAATCTAGTTCTTACTGAAGCCGAGCTTGCTTGCTACGTTTTCAGTGACAGAGCAGACTCCTGTCATTAACACTGGAACAGTGTGTGAAGGACGGGACACGTCTACCACCAGGCTTTGGTACAACTGTCTTCCCTGAGCAGTTG